GAGAGAGAGAGAGAAGAGTCGATTCCATAATTACATATCTCTGATAGACTGTGCAAATGCCGAACTTTATTCTTCATTCTCCCTTGATTGCAGATATTTTCTCTAGTCAGCTGCAAATAAAGAAGAGGGCGTAATTATCCATTTGGGGAAATAAAGGAAGATGTAGATGAACGCGCGTATTATAAAATTGTTTGTTCAAAATTAAGAAACTCTTTCGTTTATTATCACACCTTGAATATTACTATTCATATCTCGCAGGTATTAATGCAGATATGAAGACATAAAAACGATTATTCCGTTCGCAAGATCAAAAGCGAGTAACTTAAAAGAGTGTGCCACTTCTTGAAATTTTTTTTATGATATAAAAAAACGACGTCCCAAAGAGCAAATGCTTTTATGCCCTTCGTCTTATTTTAATAACAGATGGAAAAAGTTTTTTAAAAAGTATAAATAGTCGTTGAAAGTATGCAGCGTCTTTAAAATTTGCAATGCACCATCTCCGCATATATATACGAATGAATTAAACAGGATAAATAAAAAGATTATAAGATTATAAGAGTAAGTAAGATAAATAAGGAAATATGAGAGCAGGACGAAGATAACCGAATGTAACGAATGTAACAACATCGCGCCGAAATAGAGATTCGAAATCCTATCATCCAATATGGGTGATACGAAATCCGCTAAATACGTTTCAATGCGTGGTTGCAAATAAAGCAACGGTAAGCAACAGTAAGCTGTCTGCCACTGTCCGATCGAAAAAGTATAATGGGCCATGGATGTGTGTGGGCAATCAATGTGCGCTGAAAAACTAGAACCAAAAATTCTGTAAAGCAGAAAAAAAACATAGACGATAATAACAGACTCAAACGCCATACATGTGCATAATCATGACCACGGTTTTATCTCTTAATACCGTTAACCGTTGTTCCCTGAAAAACAAAGAATAGAATTACGAAAGGAGCAAGAAACGGAGGAAAACGGGAGCGCGAGCGAAGAAGGTACGCGTGAGCATAAAAGTGGGAATTAAAAGCGTTTCCGCGCTTCTCTTGGGGCAATTTTCTTTTTCTATACGACCGACGTTGTACGACCGAGAGGAAACGTCATTTGAAATCCAGATTTTCTCGTTCGCATACTTGCGCGGCGATCCTTCCTTGAATTAAGAGAAAAATCGCTGTTTTAACAGTCATTCGCTACGGTTTTTTAACGGTCATTCGCCTGGCCTATTCTGCACTTGATCGAAGAAAAATCGTCGGACGATCTTGATCATCACGCAAACACTTCCGACGAGCTTATTTATTTCCACGGTAAAAAGTCGCAGTCGTCCTACCGTAGTTACAAAGCACGGACAGTGTACAACAAAGAATAAACATAGTTTTTATGACGTCAATTAATAACGAGAGAATTTAAAAAAAAAGAAGAAATTCAGCTTCTTTGAGTAATAAAATAATTTTTCTATAGAAAAAAATTTTTGAATTTTAATTATTACTTTGAGAAAATATAGTTATAGATGAAAAATGGATAGAATGTGTTAGAAAATTTTGAAAAGATTCAAAAATACAAAAGATTTTGTCACGTTATTCAATTTAACAATAATGTCATGTATTCCGTGTATTCCTATAAATTTATATAGTTACAGCACCAGGAGATGGTCAAGAATATCTCGAGGTACTGATAGGCGTCCTCACTGCCATTATATTGCTCCTCCTGCTGGTATTCTTCATTATCCTGTTTCTAAATCGACGACAGAAATTACAGAGTTCCCCAACGGTGTTAAAAAATCCATTCGGCTTCGCCATAAATATGAAGGTATGCCAAATCACGTCTGTCTAAAGTCCTCAGAATTAAATTCTCAACGCTGACACTTTTACAGGGCCTCCTTTTAAACTTAACACCCGGTGGGATGTTGACAGCGGAAACTGCCAATCATGTTTCACCTGACATGCCGGAGGATGTCAGCATGCATGAATCACTTACGATGGAGCAATTTAATTCGCCACTCGTCAGTCCGCAATATAAATCCACGTACGCGATTGTAGCCAATTCCGGTGAGTAAGCATAAACGTCGTACAAATCGCAGCGGAGAGTAGCCGTGCTGAAACGACTGTTGCGAATGACGTAACGATGACATATTTTCAGAGTCTCCGAAGGATTTCAAAAACATAGAAATTCCGGAGGAGAACGTACGACTGGATGCAAGATCGGAATCCGCAGTCGGTCCATCCAGCTGTTCCCCATCACCGACTAACTCGCCGGCTCGACACTCCCAGCATTATAGAACCCTTCAAAGTTATAGCAGTCCAACTAGGAAACTCAATATCGCGGTTACGCCCAATCACCAAAGGGACGTCGATCAGGTTCACTCGAAACGTTGGCATACAGCGCCAAAGGAAAAGCACAAGGTACACATTAGTTGTACATCATCGTACAATTTGATGGTGCATTTGACTGATTGCACCGCGCGAGGTAAAGGAAAAGTTACATTACCTCACGTCCATGAAACTGGAAATTAAACTTGTCGCTACTTCAAACTTTCTTGATTTCTCGACATCAAACCGCAATTTACATTGATTTGTTGTGGAAAGGGAGTCTATCTTGTAGAAAAAAAATTTGTTTTGACAGTGAGAGTAAGAATCAGGTATAATTAAGAAGATATCATTCGTTACAGATACCAGCACCCGTTGTCAGTTGGAACATCGCACCGAGTATGAACAAGCCGTACAAATGCAAGGAAATAGAGCCAACCAATATACCACGTCAGTGCCTACGAACGACAGAAAAACTTGGCTCGAGAACCATAGGAGAGGTACAACATCCCGATATGAAACATATAAGCAATGTACAAATTACACGTTGCGTGAAAATGATTCAAAACGTTATGTTTTTACATTCGTTACGTGTAAAAAAAATGTGCATGTGTCATATTTGTAATAAGAAGAAATTTAACGATAAAAACTACTGAATAATGATAAAAAAATCTATTTAATGAGAAAAACATTTTATTTAACGATAAAAAAAATTATTTAACGAGAAAAACACGGTCTTAGTTAATCTCACACTTGAGATATGGCACGTATAAATATGCCCGCAGTTTGCGGCGAGTACGCGTTTCTGATTCCACTTACTCTTAATGACAGTTGCGGGCGGTGGCGAAATTTAATTTACATACTTATCGGAATGACATGTATCTACTTCACAATCCCGTATATATACCTACTTTTTTGTTTTGGTAATATTCCATAATTTTCTAAACATGTATAAACAACATAATCGACATACTTTTATTTCTATATCTTTCGAGGACATTGACAATCTGATAAAGACAATTGTTTAGCATCGCCTATCGTTAAACTTTAAACTCGATTCAAAATATCGATTTGATCAACAATATTGAGATAAAAAATTATTTATTACACATAAAAAGTAATCGAGATAAAGAATTATTAAAGTAAAAAAATCGAAGGATTACTTTTTTATTTGCGATGCTCTTGTATATTGATATAGATAAATGAAGTGAAAAATAATGTTATGTCATTTACAGGCTATAATATGTGAAGCTGTTGGTCTAGACGAGATCATATCTGGAGCTCCCAGATTAGTCGTTGCTCGCGTACCCCTGTGTAACAATGACCTTCGAACCAACAACGCAATAGACCAGATGAGGGAAGTGCAATTTCTGTCATGTTTATCCGATCCGAATGTGGCACGTATCTTAGGGGTATGCACTGTCGAGCCAGTGCCATGGACGATCATCGAGTACACGGAACTCGGTGATCTCGCTCATTATCTTCAATACAGTGTGCCGCTCACGGGAACGCTCAGGCCAAACTGCAATCTAAAAGCTCTTAGGTAAAATCTCCTTTGGAATAATTCCTTATTTGGCGATCGATCACCGAAGCTTAAATACCTCAGTGCAGCCGCATTGCTCGTTTTACTTATACAAGTATCGTAAACTTTAAACTTTAAATTGTCATATAAAAGTTACGAATTGTTCGTACATAACGTTTATTGGATTGTTTTCAGTCAAAGTTGTCTGCTGTATATGGGAACACAGATAGCGTCAGGAATGAGATTCCTTGAATCGAAGAATCTGGTACATAAGGACTTGGCAGCCAGGAATTGTCTTGTGGGTCGTTCTTATACCGTGAAAGTGACCGATATAGCCATGTGCAGTGATCTTTACAAAAAAGATTACAGCGATATAGGAGGCAGACCGCCCGTACCGATCAGATGGTTACCGTGGGAAAGTATCCTCTTGGTAAGTTTTCCTTTTTTAAAATATCTTTACTGTTCTTTAAAATTACATTGTGCATAATATTCTCGATAATATAGGACATATCATAATTTAGAACCTCCATTTTTGATTCTCCATTTAATTTGTAGTCGCGATATGGAAATTATATCGAAAAAGATTGTTACTTAATATAAATTATCAATTTACATCTTTTGTTATATTTATCACAATTTATATTAAGAAACTGTTAAAGCGAATTCTTCATATGAAATTTAAATTAGCAAAAAATCAAAAATGATAGCTCAGTACCTTCACTGAAAAACGATTTTAAATTTTAAAATATCTATTAAAGAATCTATCGTTATAATTAAAAATCGCAATATGAAATTTATGTCTTAATAAAATATTACAATAATAATGAAGACGATGCATGAATAATGATACTATTTAAATACTTAAATTTTCAGGATAGGTATACATGTTCGAGTAGCATATGGTCTTTTGCCGTGACACTTTGGGAAGTAATGAGTTTGGCCAGAGAAAAGCCCTTCCAACATCTGTCAAATGATCAAGTTATTCAGAACGCCGAACATATGTATTACGGAGCGGAGCTACAAGTAAGCGTTTTATCTGATCGACAGTGATAGCTTTATAATTAATCATTTTCAAGCCCATCGATTAATCATTGAGTCTTGCTTGACAATTGAATCTTAATGCATTACGCATATCTTTACATATATCGCATTGGTCATATATTATTATAATGTTAGAAATAATTCTACAGAATCTTAATTGAATTTACATTTCAAAAAAGCATCTGATAATAAAAATTTTTTTACTTGTTATTTATCTTCAAATATTTGGATTTTAGGTACTTCTACCGAAACCAACAATGTGTCCGGAAGAAGTCTATCGGATGATGTGCTCGTGCTGGAGAAGAGACGAGACGTCGCGACCAACCTTCAAGGATATCTACACGTTCTTGAAGAATATAATAGCGGACTATCGACCTGGTGCATAAGTAATCTCGGTTAACTGTGATACGGAACGGACGGTTAATCTTCTGGAATGTGAACGACATCGTCGGGAACATTCCGTGCAGGACAAAGCGTTACACGAGATCGTACTCGCCGGGCATGACGCCTCGCGCGAAATCAGATTCTCCAGAAATGTACAATCGTTAGTTTTAGACATACGTGTATTACAGGCTCTGGGCCTCGTATCTCCTTCCTTGCGCAGAAAATTCAGAATGCAAAATCGCACTCCGAGTGCAAAGCTCAGCAGTAACCAGAAATGATCTCCCGCGAAGTCTATCACGCGTAATTGGTTGTCCAGATAAAAGTAATGGCGATAACGGACGAATGCTAAATGAGCATAAGGAGAAATGTATAATTGACGTATAAGTGTTAGATTTATTTTCTTCCGATAATCAAGATCGATAATTTTACTCTTCTTCAACTTGAGTGTATAATCGCGTCACTTTTGTCTGGACGTTTTAAGAAAATTTCATTTTCTAGTCAATACGAATCTTTAATTCTCACGAAAGTGCTATCGTGTACAGTATTCTAATTAATAAAGTGTAATGTACGCTACTATGCTCAGTATTGATAAAGTCTATCCATTTGTACATACAAATTTAGGATTTAATGCTAGGAAAATGAGAAATTTTTACGGCAGTAAAAGTTATGACGGCTATTTTTTTCTTTCTTTCCGTTGCTTTAAATAATATTACGCTTGACTCTCTTTAATCTGATGATATGCGAAAAATGGCGTTAATAAATTTATGTTTTAATTCGCTTATAATGAGTTAGTGTAAAAAGTATTTATAAAAATAGAGTTGAGCGATATTCGAAAAAAATTAGATGTTTAGTCGATTAAATACAGGCGTAAGGTAATTTCATTAGCTTATCGTCTTACTACGCCCTAAAAATTTCGGCTTAGTCAACTTGTACATTCGAAACCCATCAGTAAGTAGTAAGTACTTATTATTCCATTCTTTCTTTAAGTTGGAATTGTGCTATGTTAAGAGGTGTAGATTTCGAAAATGTTCTTCCTAAGGACGTAATATGAACACATATCTTTACTCGTTTTTTGAGAACGGAAGAAAAAGATATAAATATCTAGCAGCGAATATCTTTGGAAGGAATCAATAAAAATTTAAACAATGCCATATATTTGTTGGAATTTCAAATTATGGACGCTTGAGCGTATCGATAGCAATACAAAATAAAAATATTAGTAAAAAGATGAAAAGTAATAATATAATAGTATACATTTATTTTATTATTATAAAATAATTTTATTTATTCTCACAGTTACATAATATCTATTATAATTCCCTCCATTACTTATTTTCAATTTGTAATTGATTTGTTTTTACATTAATAGTTGTTTTAGAATATCGTTAAATCGAATAATAATGAAGCGCAGTTTATTATTCATGCAAATAAGAAAATCTATCTTTAGGAGAAAAATAGAAACGTTCAAACGTCCTATCCCTTACTTTAAAAGTATTAAAAGGAACTAAACAAGTTTTCAAATCATTTTTATCGCTATAATTGTCTGTTGATTTAAATTATGTAAAAAAAAATAAAATCGATATCAATCTTGATGAACGATAAAATTATTTGTAGAGTACTTGTTTGTAGAGTGCTTGATAATGAGTCAATCTTTTCAATAATAAATTAATCCATCAGAAAGATCTGTTATCTGATTTCATTAGTTGATTGTAAAATTTAAATCCTTCAGGCTTGTAGAAATACCTTAACTACGTATGTTATGTTAATTACGTATGTTAATAGTTAATATCAGTAAATACTATCATTGTTTTGAAGAAAAAGTTGCCAAGAAATTCGAATAATAGTAAACATTTTCAAACAAGATATCAAGAATAAAGGTAATTTATTTAGCAGCTCATATTTAATCTCGATCATCATTTTAAGTATTTTTTGTAAAACAAATAAAATGTGTATTACTCGAATGGATATAACTTGGAAACATACAAGACAATCGTCATGTAAACATTTTTAATTGTGTATATTAAAGTTGCTCTAAAATATTATGTCCACATATTAAAAATATCCTGTATGATCAGTAATATAATATACAATTAAGTATTTCTATTTCGTGCTGTCTAAATCATTTTTTCGTTTTTAAACTTTTCAGTTTATCAAATTGTCACTAATTCATATTTTTATTTACGACATAAACAAAAATAATTTAATATCGTAATTTTTCCAATGTAATTAATCATCGTTTCGAACAGCACGATGTATGTAGGAAATGTACACTATATTTATACATATTATATTATATTATTATTGCATATAAATTAAATTTAATAATTTTACGCATAATACATATGAAAAATTCCATGAATAAAATGTTGATGCATAATCTGTCATTGAACCAGATAATAAGACTCATAAAAGATTGATTAAATCAGATCGATAAATTTGTTGTGCGATGTTCCACAAATCCGCCGATTAATATTACAGAATAATATTTGTCTAACATGTTAAAGATATGATCGATCGTGATTTTAAATTTAGCGTATGAGTAATATCTATAACAAGCAATTTCACTGCACTTAGAATTATGTAATAAAAAATTTACTTATGTTTTATTTAATGTTGATTGACACATTTTTACGCAACGCTAAATGCAAGATATAATTATTTATATATAAAACATAGTGAAAGTATTATAAAACAAAGTGAAATTTTTTGACTATTTTCTTATCAGAACTATGTTTAACTAACATGAATGATTCTTTTATGACGTAATTGGTTTAACAGACTGTTATCTTCAGTCAACTTATCAATATATTGCAAAAACATACGAAAGAAATCGCGATGCTGGTACCACGTATTCCGGATAAAGTAAATGCAACAAACGCACGAACAATAAAATCAAACGTTTCTCTCAAACGTTTGATGCAATTCTTTTTCTAAGAACTTTTTTGATTATCTATGGGATGATAAATCGTAGAGGCTCGAAGCAACCATAATCTGATATCATATAATGATAAAAGTAGATAACAGATTGAATGACCGTCGCAACGTATCTCTCGATTGTGTGTAAGTGCCATTTACTCAGACGTGTATGTGTTTGTGTGCCGTGTAACGTGTGATTGCGTTTATATAATGGTAGCGTCCTGACAAAGTGGCACCATTGAATCACCGACTGTCAGAATCACACGACACTCCGTCACATCTATTCACCGAAAGAATGAGATCCTACACACTTGTATTCGTTGCCCTTGCGATCATCCTCCTTTACACTGGTAAGTGATTATTTTTTATGTAAATTGAAAAATTATAATATTTATATTTTTAACAGAAATAATAATATAAATATATGTCATACAGTTTCCTGCACATATTGAGATTTAAAATTAGAAAAG